TTTAAAAAATTTGGCTCTCAAAAGAAATTTCAATCGGTGTACTGTTGATATTTGGCTCTGTTGACTAATGAGTTTGCCGACCACTGGTCTAGACAGTTCACAGCTTCTAGATGGCAAACCTGAATCAATGAATATGGTCAAATATATTGTTGATTTATACAAGAGAATGCTCTAGAGATATGCAAAAGAACTTCCAACTTATTCTACAGCATAAAAGAAGAGTTTGCATTGAAGTGTACGGTGTGATCTACCTTCTGGAGTTCAAACCAAAACCTGATGAGGTTCACATTAGATGGAGCCTTCCAATCCAACTGCAAACTGGAGTTGCCTGGAACCAAGGCATTAGGCTTCTCTGGGGTGTCAAACATTTCCACCGTGACAGGGTGGCTCTCAGCACACCACATTTCCTCGGCGTGGCAGGCAAGGACCTTTTGTAAAGACAACAACAACAAAAATTGCTTAACCTTTTCACAACCTTGTGCTTGAGAATGGCAGTAAAAGTACCCAATAGCCTCGCTGTACCTTTAACACATATAGTTTCCCCCCGGACAGTCCAGTAACCAGGAGAGCAAGCCTTCCATGAGGATATTCACTTTGTCTTAGCGGGGTCTCCGGAACTCGGGCCAGATGTGCAATCGCCAGCTGATAGCGGACTGACTCCTTAGGTCCATTTGGCTTGGGAGATTCTCTCCAGGATATGACAAGGCTGGTGTCTGACTGCACTGTTGTGTTAATGAGCCAAACAGCCTCTGGTACTGAAATACAGAGCAATGCATGACAAGGGATGTTGCAATAATAGCACTGGGAGATGGAAGGAAGGGATGGGGTCTTGGTTGAGGAATAGTCATGTCATGTGAGCAGAATGAGTGACAGATGTGCCTCAGAGAAGCCAGCCTCTTATATAATGGTAAGTTAGCGGCTGTCTGAAAGACTGGCTTATTTTTGCCGAATGACTAAATCATTCTCTGACTCTAGCTCCAGGATTTGGCCAGTGATGATGAATAACCAAATTGGGGTGATTTTCGTGAATTCATCAGAGATATCTGAAAGAAATGGCATCACCCCATAATAATTGCCACCTCTAAGGACACCTTTTTAGATTCTAGATCCATTTTCTTTAAGGCAATATGTTACATTACTTTAAATAGAGAAAAGGCTTGGTCTTCCCGTCCCACCTCGTGAGCAGAACTATGAAGATATGGGAAGAGGGTGACACTGTGTGGTGAGAGCAAAGACTGTGTTTCTTGGGCAAACAGTATTGATGCTGATGTGTCTTTCAGCTTCTAGTCACTTTTCATTTTGATGGAATATTATTGATCATCTTCTAGTGTTAGAGCAAAAATCATGTCATCAAAGCATTTTTCAACCAATATATTTTCCTTATTAAGCTTTAAAAAGGTCACATAATAAAGATGACTTTATATTCAGGTAAAAAACAAACAAATATAGACATACACATCACATATATTACAAAACTCCACTCTAGCATCCCACACCAAGCCCATAACTCACCGCCACTTTTAGTTTTCCCCCAAATCTCTTTTCCCAGAGGTAACTGTTCCAAAGGATCAGAATAATAATTCCTTACGGCGATCTGTATCATATATGTTGAAAATGGTTGTAAGCCTTCAATAAGGGCTATACTCTCCTGAAATTCCTGCAATTAATTTACAAATATTAATATGTGATTTTTATTTTTTGTACAAATGGGGAGAAATTATTTAATCAAAGTGATAAAATATTAAAAGACTCAACATTTTTTATTTGTAGATATTGGATCATGAAGGACAATGTTCACTGTTCTAATCTGCCCAGGCCTGAGTTGTTTAATAGCTACAAGAATAAATGCTAAATGACTGACAGCCTTCAGTCAATTTTGTGACATATTCATCTCACATAAGAAGGTAGATTCCCAGAGGAGGACACTATTTCATTGGCATTACATTAGAAACTCAGCAAAATGGTATTGGAAGGATGTGATACATACATGAATACAATAGAAAAGATTAAGCTACATTATCTAGTCATTCTTAGAAATAAAGTTTAAGTAAAAAGAACTTCCTTGGGTCAATGGTTCTCAACTTTGGTTACAGGTTGGAATCATGCTGGAAATTTTAAGAAAATACTGATTTCTGGGTCCCACCTCCAGAGATTCTGACTGAACTGGCCTGAGGGGAAACCTGGATGAAGAGATTTTAAGAGCTCCAGTGTGCACGAGGTTGAGAACCATGCCTTTGGTGCATGTTAATCAATGTGAAGACAAGATACATGAGCTCTCATAGCCATGTCCAGTGCCACAGCCCAGCCTTCGTCAGCCAAATGATCCAAGCTGCCTCTGAAACAACTCTCTTTAGAAATGTGTAAAAAAGATAAAAACAGACAAAATAAAGGAATAAGAACCAGCTGTATTTTTTGGCAAAGTGTACTTGTTAACCTCAAATAGGAGATGGTCAATTTCACTTTTTGACTTGGTTAAATAAGTAGCACAAAGCAAAATATAGGGCCCACATGATTTCATCACAAGGACAACTAAAACACCAGTGCCCATGTTGCCAAGAATTATGCCAATTCATTTATTCACTCGAGAGATATCTAGTGAATGCCTATACAATATCAAGTACTAAGCTGGGTACTAGAAATACAATGATAAATCAAAGCATAGCCCCTGCATAATGGGGCATTTCACAAAATACTGGAAATCACAAAAAATATACAATTTTTATATTAGATATATGCTATGAAGGACAGAGGTATATGGCAATGTTCTCTCTGTCAAATGCATTTCTTACCCCTCAACCAAAATCTGCTAGATGAGCCATAAAATCACATATGCATCACTTTCTAGGGATAATTAGATAAGCAGGAAGGACAAAAAATCCAGTTCTTTCAAGGACACTCAGGAAATTGTTACTGTTGGCGATCTACCAACTGGTCAGTTAATAAAGTTTGTTGAAGTGTAACTTATTCCCAGACAAGAAGACTAGACACAATATGCTTTGATGAATCAGCTATAACAGGTTGCTTAATAGCACATCCCAGAAAATGATATAGAAAATACTATGACTGAGAATTTCATATCAAAAAAGAGTATCTTCTAAAAAGACAAAGACCACCAGCTCCAATCTTACCAGCATTCTATATTTTGGCTCAGAGCCATTTTTCCCATCATTAACTTCTTTGTAATAAACCAGGTATGTTGGAGTTGGGCTGGTGATGCCATACCAGGTGAGGTTTGTCCTGGAAGACGGTAATCTGATTGTGAGGCTGGTGTTAGTTGTGTTAAGTATAATTGGCTCTGCGATATCTGAAGCTAGAGACAGAAATGCTTTATCTAAAATAATAAGAAAAAAATATTAAATATATACACATGTGAACATTGAGGGTAATATAATTTTTATTTTTTACTTAAGTTATAAGGCATGATGTATTGAAGTGTTGGAAATATTATTCAGGACAGAAAGACAAGTTTTTTTCTTAAAGATGGATGAACTAGGGAGCAAGGTAACTGGTAATTGCTTAATATTTCCAGCAGATGGAGCTAAAGTATATCCTTTATAATGTACCTAGACAGTGGCAAAATAAAGTTGGTCCTTGTCTTATTTTGAAGTAATTAGATTATATTAATCATATTTTCACAGACTTTTAAAATCTCTTAAATTTCTCAAAGTGGAAAATTAATTTTTAACCAAAATAGCATTAAATTTATTTATAAAATCATTTTTTAAAATATTTTGTAACTTACATATTTTATAAATGAATACATTTAAGCAAAGATTATTTGAGTTTGTTTCATTCATTTCTATCCCTCTCTAGTGGGAATTATACTTAACTTAGAATAACATAGACATCTTAATGGCAGAGAGAGCTTGAGAAAATCACCCATGAGTCTATATAATGCTGTTTTCATTTTTGGTTGGTTGGTTGGTGTTTAGATTTCAAACATTTTTTTATTGTGACTCACAGTAGTAAATATATATAGTCAGTTCTGCTCGTAATGTGACACATGTATTCCTAAAAGTCACTGCTTTATACAAAATTGCACAATAAAATCCACAGGGTTTCTGGGGGAAATAGAGTTAGGGGCACAACACTAAAAGCTTCATGAGTGACACATCTTTAAAAAGATAAGAACTGAGTAAAAGTGGTAGGACACATGTATGGCTGTTAAATGGTTGATGTACAGAACACTATTATAAATAGGCACTTGACCTTGGAATGCTATACAATGCTTTGTGAAATCATTGGGAGTCTAAAATATCGTCAGAGACGAAAAAAGGCAGAAAGAAAGGAACTTTCGGGACTAAGAAGAGAAAGAGAAATGGGCAGCAAGAACGACAGGACAAGGGTTTCCCATGCCTCTGGTTGCCTCCCGCAGCCCCAGGCAGCAAGGGTTTCCCATGCCTCTGGTTGCCTCCTCGGATGCACGCGTAGATGAACGGCGATCCAAGGCAATCAGCAATCACAGCACACGCCAAATCCTGGCAGTTTGGAGCAACACTGACAGCACAACACAGGAGTTGGAGAAACAGCCCGGAGAAGGAGTCATGATGAGACTTTCCCGGCCCTGAACTGGGAGAACAAGTTGACTCAGCCTGTGACTTGATTACCTGGAAGAGGCTGCAGCGCCGAACTGTAAGCCAAGATGCGCTCGCTCCTCAGGGCCTTCACCTGAGAGGGAATGGCCCCTCGGCGTTTCTTTACTTGATAAATCTCTGTGCCGTCCTTTGCTGTGGAGACCCAGTATAGATATTCCCCATCCACAGTTAAGCTAACAAGTGTTTTTCCTGTTTATGAAAAACATAAATAAAGAACATATCTTATGGTGTCTACTCCAAACAATATGTGAAATCCTTTTTCTATATCATTCCTGCTACATTTTGAATCTTCCTATAATTTTCATATGAAAAAAATTACACATTTTATGTCACTAGGCTAAGGACTTCCCAGATATGTTCTCATTTTAGCTCCACATGAAGCCATAAGTAAATACCATTGTTATTAGCTTCATTTTGTAGAAGGAGAACCTGAGGCTTGGACGAGTTAAATAATGTCAAGGCCACAAGGTTAGTCAAGGGCAGAGCCAGGATTTACAACTTACCGGTGTGACTCCAAGCCAAACAACGCCTATCTGAAGGGAGGTACTAGCTGATAGGCACAGGACTCAGTGCCTTGCTCGATATTTTTGTCAATGATTTGACATGAATGCACAGTAAACATATTTATCAAATTCGTAGATACTATTCAATGTTTACTGTCACTAGTATATGGAGTCCCTAACTTGGAATTCAAAAATATCACAACAGAATCAGGAAATAGATTAAAATTTAACAGGAACAAATGTAACATCCTGAATTCAAGTTTAAAATCAACCCTAGAAATAGCAAATAAATCTAGCTCAATAATAGTTTTAAAAAATGATAAAAAAAAATTATGGGTTTTTAAATGGCAGGCAGCCCAAAGACCGAACACCGCTCTCCATGCAGTAAAAGATGACCTAGGAGGCAGAGGCCTCCTGCACTGACCAGAACACACTGAGCTCCGTGAGTCATGCCAGGGGTGACGTTTAAGAGAATATTATGTAGCTGAAGTGAAACCACAGGAGGGGGACCAGGGCAAAGAAAGATCTAGAAGCCACATCCCCTGAGGTGTAGTGATAGATACTTGACTTTTTCCTCTAAAAGAAATGCTTTGGATGGGCTATGACAGCTATCTTTACATAGTTGAATGGCAATTGCCTAGAAGGTGATTGGTTTATTCTTTTAAATGTAGAGGTCAGAACTCAGATTAATAAATGGAAGGAATAGGAATAGGAATGGCTACATAGAAGAAGAAAAATATCTAACATTCAGAATTATCCCAAAAATTAAACAGACTTCCCAATAAATAGTATTTTTTTTATAAACAGGTATTCAGTCAAGACTGTTTTTGTAGAGGAATTTCCTCCAATATCATGACAACTAAATGATCTCTAAAGTTATCCCAATTTTCTAATTTTATGGTTATGGATTTCAGTTATGGGTTCCCCCTTTCTATACCTGTAAGATAATGCCTACTAGGTAATTCTTATGTATCAGGTGTCAAAGGAAAATTATTCTGACACTTGTTAAAATGCTAAAGAAGACTTTAGTGTATTGCAATATTGTAGAGGGAGACATAATACAGGAGCGAGATGTACTCAACTCTGAATATGAAAGAGATAGCTGGAGATTCATAACCAACATGCACAATGAGAGGGTCAGTGGGTAAAAATTATTACGAGGCTACATCAAGGGTAAGGGGATTCTTGCTAAACTGGCCTAATAAGATTCTTGGTAAAGGCAAGCAAGAACGTTCAGGGTGTGGCATGAGGGGCTTAATCAGATATTTAAAGTGGGGGAAATTCTCTCTAAACTGATTTAGCCGGATTCTTGCTAAAATTGGACTCAGCAAGAATGGACATGGAAGGCTAAGGTCCAGGCCTGAGGGCTCAGAGGAGCCTAACTAAAGTTTGATTAAGAAAAGAGTCTTTGCCCTAGCCAGTTTAGCTCAGTGGATAGAGCGTTGGCTGATGGACTGAAGGGTCCTGGGTTCAATTTCAGTCAAGGGCACATGCCCAGGTTGGAGGTTTGATCCCCAGTAGAGGGTGTGCAGGAGGTAGCGAGGTAGCCAAATGACTCTCTCATCATTGATGTTTCTCTCTCTCTCTCTCCCTCTCCCTTCCTTTCTGAAATCAATAAAAAATATACATAATATTTAAAAAGTTAAAAAATAAAAAAGTCTTTGTCACAGATTTATCAAAAACAAGTAATTTTTTATAAGAAAAGTTCAAAACATCGTCTCTACTCTTCAGCCCATTGAGAGGACAACAGAAACAAAACCATATGTGCAGCTACAGCTTTCATATGCAGACACACACACACACACACACACACACACACACACACACACACACACACATTTGCAATTTCAGAGCTTCACTATATAAATCAGCAATGCCCAGTAGCACTTTTGATGATGGAAAGATTTTATACCAATGTTGCCCATACAGTAACCATTAGCCACTTGTGACTTTTGAGAACTTAAAATGTGGCTAGTGTGACTGTGGAATTAAAATTTTAATTTTATTTATTTTCTTTAATTTGAACTTAAGCCACCACATGTGACTAGCACATACCATATTAGAGAGTAAGAAATAACAGACTCTTAAGAATATGTAAGTTGAATTTCAAGTATTTGCTAATTCATGCTGAATGTAGAGTCAATGGAATCATCAAAATTGAAATAAAATAAGGTACTGGGAGTAAGATCATGAATGTTGTAGTATGGCCCAACTTTAAACCCCAGATCATCTACTTACTAACTGTAGCCCTTTGGAAAAGTTATCTTACTTTTCTCAGCCTCAGTTTCCGCGTCTGCAAAATGAGGATAC